GATCTGGACAGTGTTGAAGGACATGCTTGACATCTGGTCAGAGCCTTTACCAACCATGTGTAAAAACAAAATCTGTGTCTCTAAAACATTAGTTCTGGATTTAAAAAGAAGAAACAGTCAGGTTTGCTGGCTTAAACTAAACTATAACATGCAACAGTCACTTTAGATATTCAAGTCAGTTTCCTCCCTCCCTCCACAATCCCAAAGCACTTTTCCATGGTGCTTGAACATAAACTGTGAGTGGAATGAAGCTGTAGTACCAGGCCTTGGCTTGTACCTGCCCCTTCTAAAGCCCTTCTCTCATCTTGCTAGAGGCTGGTTCCGGTCTGAGCAGTGACTGAACACTGTTGGGAAATGGCCTGTGTCTGGCTGTGTGCCATGGATGTAGGTTGCTGTGGGGTGAGACATGCACTAAATCAGTTGTAAGAATTGGAAACTTGCTGTCAAAAAAAAAAAAAAAAAAAGTCTGATCAGAGTGAAAAAACATCTCAAGCTTCCCGGAAGAGTTTTAGATAAAAAACGCTTCAGTTGTAAAAAGATACCTTTTGATAAGCTTTTTGTGAGATGATTGAGATATTTCTAATAACTAAAGTCCACAGAGGAATGTCAGAAATGTTTCACAGCATGCCTCAAAACCAAAGTATTACAAGATCTATCATCACCTTTTGTGGTTATTCATCTAAGTCTGTTAGCACTTGAAAATTTGTCTAATTATGGAACACAGTTCTCACTATATTGATATTTTGTTTCCACTTATAAGTTATTATTTTTTTCCACCTATGGATTAAAAATCCATTGAAACGTAAAGTCTGATGCTCCTGCTGGAAAGGTTCTGAGCTGCAATAAGGCAGTGAAGAGAGAAGAAACATAAAATCCAAAAAACTAACCCTGCATTTTGATCCATTAGGCTTATTTTGCTGATAACATAAAAAAATGAATATATAATTGCTGCCTAGGAAGAGAATAGGAGTTGGGCAAGTGTAATCTCCAGTGCTAAAAAAATCTCAAAAACTAAATGGGAGATTTGCCTGCTACCTGCCTGCTCCTTTCTAACAACGAGGATTGGGATTTGTCTGTCTTTTCTTGCACTGTGTGTCACAGGAGACTATGATGAGGGCTGAAAAGAAATGATTTAGTAGTTGCTCTGCAAGTTTCTTTTTCAGTTGGATGGAGAGAACTTTGAAGTCTTCGAACATCAAGTCCTTTAGGGGAATTATCTTTTCCCTCCACTTATAAACTTTGAGGAGAAAAGCCTATTGTCTTCCTAAACCACTTTTAGAGACAATATGTCTACTAGGCAGCAACAGCCTTCTCTGAAAAATCATGTCTGCCTCCAAATTCTGGGGACATTTATGGCTACAGCTGGAAGGTACTTGTTTGGATTTAGGCATTAAGTTCTAATGTGATTATCAATTGATCAGAGATGTGCTTTCATTGAATAAGTATTTATTCAGTACTTCCTGTGTTAGACTATGGATAACATATTATAAAAGATAGCTATTCCTCTTATTAAAGGGTTTATGCATCAGGTTTGAGAGGGTGATGTTAGAGCAAGGAGAAGATGCTGGCATTGCTAACCCTTACTGAGTCCTATCTAACCTATGCATGGGTTTGTTTACTCTTGAGAAATGCTAAGAAATAGATGCCATTTTATCACCATTTTACTAAAAAACAGGTGATTCACAAAAAGTTTGGAAAATTTTTTCTCCAACTCAGACATCTAGTAAGTTGTAAAATCAAACCAGAACCCAGGCATGTTAACCATAGTGCTCTATCTAAAGATGGGCAGAAAATACACATATGTTGTTAGCAATAATATGTAGAAAGTCACAATACTGAGGAGTAAATAGAAAATGGGGATGCCACCGTAGGATGTCTTCAAGGTATAAGACCAAAATTAGAACCAGATGATTGTTACATCCATATGATCTTGCTGGAGACAGCATGGCAAATGGGGGAGATCTGAGACACATGTAGAAGCAAATAACTGGAGGTCCAGTCCATTTTTTTCAGACTTCCCAGACGAAGAAACCCTGTTTTTAGGGAGTACTTAGCAAACATCTTTTAACATATGCATTTTAAGGCAATTTAAACATTTTTAGCTTAAGAACAAAATCTACTTTATGGTGGTCTATTTATAAAGACTATTCTGGACTTCTCTGTCTCCTCTGTCAGTGGCTAGAAAGGATCTGATGAAGTTGAAGGGAAGGAACTCTAGAAATCTCTATGGATAGAATTTGTAGGATATAGTGGAATTCATGGAAACTTTTCAGGTTGTCAAGTTTTGTTTGTGTAACTAAGCCTCCTCTCCAGTCAGGATTATATTATCATCAACTCTAGGAGAAGCTTAGATTAACCAGACTAGTTCTCTTGGCTGGGCTGAGGAGTAAATATTTTACAGCGCAAGAGGCAGCACTGCATTTGTCCTAGTCTTAACTGTGTATCTTTCCTATCCCTGGGACACAGTCCTCTCTCTAATTAGTTTCTACATTATTTTGTCCATATGTAAAGTTTATTCTGTGGTCAGATTGTAGACATAATTAAGTCCATTAATGGCACTTGTGTTTGCTTTTAGACAGAAGTTATATAATCTACAGAGAATAAAATATATTGTCCAAATCCCACTTTCTCTAAATAGTGTCAGAATTTACTTTTGTGGAATATTACATTTCTACTAGGAACTGTGCTGTGTGTTTTATGGATGTTGTTTAATTTTGACCTCACGACCACTCTGGGAGGTAGGTGTTACTCTCGTTTTACAGTGAGGAAATGGAAGTTCAGAGAGATGAAATTACTGCTAAATAAGTGATAATGAAGGATTTGGGTTCTACTCTAATCCCAAAGCCTATACTTTTGTAACTCTACTGCTTCATTTCCTTAAAGGGAAAATTTACTGAAAATGAAATCAGTACTTGCAATGCTGGAATTTAAACTATTCCAGGCAACTGAATTAAAGGCATAGTATTGCTTAGTTGGCTAAGACAAGACACTCTGCACCTTCAAGTCATATTAATTAAAACTTAAATTTTTTCTAATGATCTCTTCAACTTAGTAGAAAAACTCACCATGGATTGTTTCAGAGTTAAAATTCCCTTATCTAGTCATCACTCAAACATTTATCCATTACATTCCCATGAATAAGTCAGAGGCAAAATCAAGACTGGGACCCACTTCTGTTTTCAAAACTTGTCTGTTTTCTGTGAGGTTGACATTAGGAGAAAACATTGGCTGGATTTGGAACTGCACAATGTTCTCCTAAATGCTCCAAGAGAAGCTCACTGATAACAACCACTCCTGACGCAAATCTGAATGTTCCTGCACAATCTGGGTCTTCTCTTACCCCAAGGAGTTAGCATGACCTCTGTTACATAAATCTTTAATTAATAATTATAGAGTTGAAATAGCCTACTATTTCAACACATAGGCTTGGCCTATTTGACAGTGTTTTAGCTGAGTTCCCAGGTACATTCAAAAGTCCTGTCTGGACTATGGGGACTGGGTGGAGGACTTTTGGTGCTTGGGTGGTGGGCATAGTGTGGTAACAAACATGTGAAGAGGTGTGATCTTATACCCCTGAATCTTATACAATGCTGTAACCCCAAGGAATATATAAAAAAGTCATGTCTAAGTTTCACTTAGAATACTCCTGGGGTCTGACTTATGATATAGCATGTTCCTAAATGAAAAAGTGGCTTTGCACTCAGGCATGAGAGGCGTATTAAGGAATCGGTGAGATTTTGAATACAAGTCTTAGGGAAATGGAGATGGGGTAACATATGGAAGCACAGTGTTTTTCTGGGAAGTATGGGTATTTTACTCTCTACTATTTCTAGATTTATCTAGGACCCACAGTCATCCTGCATGAATGATTCTATTGTTCCTCATGGTCTCCAGCTCTGAAATTCCAGACCATACTTTTCACAAGTAATCCTTGAACAAAGCCTCTGTTTTATCAACGTAAAACATTGTACCTGATTCTCATTCCTATGTGAGTTTGATAAATGTGGATGGGGAAAATACCAGGACTCAGGGGAAATGCAGAGCTGAGTGGTAAGAGAGAGAACTCCCTTTCCCTAACCTGGAACTATATACGCCTTTACGGACATGGCTACGTCTATAGCCCCAAGTGGAGTGAATCACATCTACATCTGCACCTGTTTCTTTGTAGGAGTCTCTTCTGAGCCAGGGGTCCTTTCGGTTAAATCCGATTGGTTGGGTAGCAACATGTTACCTGGTGAGAATCAGGATGGTTTCATATTGTGATGTTTTTAAGAAAGTATCTTTATTTTTAATTGTTCATCTAGACATGCCAATGGATATTTAGGCCACATTTTGAGCAAAACTCACAAGGTGTATTTTTTTTTCTCAAACCTCACATGTATACACAAAACAACACAATTGTAAGGGTTTGCTGAAAAGAATAAAGTATAAGAAATACAGGGAAGTACAAGCTCATAACCAAGTTCCAATCAGTAAGCGAATGTGGTTCAACATGAGAGAAGGTTACAAAGCAGGCCTGTGTTTTGCAGGAAGCACTGTCTGAAGATGGCGGCAGGACACCTCTCTGGCCCAGAAGCCACAAGCAGGTACAACAGCAGCAGTTTTATTCAGCCCAGCAGGGAATTATGGGGTGATCAGGGTTTTATGAATAAAGTTCTGACTGGATGCTTTTAAAAGGAAAAGCAGACTTTGCCTACCAGGCCTGGCAGTGATATATAGTCTCTCTTAATTTAATCTTAACTTGACTTTTTGCTTACTAAAAATAGCCCTTGATTCCTTTCTCTCAACCAATGTGAGAATTAAACTCGTTAAGTCAACTATTGATGACCTGTGGCTGTTCCAACAACCGTGTCTTAAGACTTCTTAAGACTGGACTTCTACTGAAAGATGGTGAGAGCTATTGGAAGTAAGAAAAATGTTTTCACATTCTCTTTCTTTTTTTGCCCAAAAATGAGGAACTCAGGACATCTCCAGATGATTGAAAGAAGGAGCCAAAGCATCATGTCTCATCTTACTTCGTACTATTAGCAGTTTTATAGGCTTCACTGTCAGTTAATTGATAGTTTTTTCTGTGAGCTCTTTGTCTTGGAAATGAGGAACTACTTAAAAAATGCTCTCAATATTATTTATTCAAGTTATTATGTAAATATAATTTGTATAAACAATTGTTTCTTAAATTCAAAGTAGAGGTCCCATTAGCTAAAATAGTATCTTTCTTATCTCTACTATATTGTCCTCAGTAATTGTTTTCTTTAATGTGATCTCATGTACGTGAAAAATAAACTACTCAGAAGCCCTCTCTGCATCACCAAACCCAAAGTAAGAGAAGTTTGGAAGCAAGCATACATTCAACATACTCTCTTTTGGGGCCTTTCCAGGCTGAAAGTTTTAGAGAATTAAAGCAATACGGAAATGTGTCAGTACATAGTTACTACAGAAAAAAAGAGTGAGTGTTAAGTTTTCACAACTTTTCCTTCTTCCCCACCCCAACAATTTCAACTTATCATCTACCCATTTCATGAGCTTTTCACACTTTCTTTAATGCCATCTGAAATCTCTTTTACTTTAACAAATATACAATCAACTCTCCCAAATTTTCCCTAAATCTTTCTCCAATTTTCTGCAAACCTCAGTCTCTCTACAGGAACTTGTTACAATTCAGTCAAATTTTTAACATTTCATTTGCACGTTGGAAGAAAAAAAAAAAAAACCAACAGTCGCTTGTAGGAAGTGGGAGCGGGTTGTCATTCTATTAGCTTGTGAGAAGGTTTGGTAGTGGCAGCAACAAGCAGATTGTCATTCTCCCACTGAGACGTTGCTTAAGCTAAAAAGAAAGGAATCTCACCAATTTTCACCTAACATTAGTTATGCCAGAACTTCTAAAGAAAAGGGTCAAAGCATAGAGGTTAGCCCACTAGAGAGGAATGCTGTAACAGATTGATATTACTGCCAGAGGTCTGCAGGAAAAAACAGCAAGCAAATTCCAGAGTGACTCTGTGAGCAAGTACTTAACCACAACCACCTGACAGGAAGGTAAATTGTGCCAGATAATGCAAATATTTTCTTTACCTAAATAAAGTTAACTTCAGCTAAACAGCTGGGTAATTAAACGTGAAATTAAGGAAAAAGAAAAGTCCAGTTACTATTAACACCAAAGAAATGCACGCCAACCATAAACCAAAGGTGCTTTGGTACTGTAGCCATAACAGACAGAAGTGTGAGAGGGGCCAGGGAGCTCCCTGATGGGTAGATGACAGGGTCGTAGAAAGTTTGCGAGACCTGTTATGTCTCCCTTGAGGTTGACACACCGCTGTGTTCCATGACAAGAGTCACATAAACACAAGCTTATCAGCTGCTTGTTAAACTGTGTGCAACGTCGCTGTGTTGAAAATGACTTCAGGCTTGCTGCAGCGGTCTCATTAATCTGAGGAAACGATGCTTGGTGCCATAGATTAAACACTATGGTCTCAAGCGGAATGCATGTGAAGTTTCCAAAATATTTCCTCAAAGACTTTATTCAGTTTTGGTTTGTGACCTTAGCTGGAAAGCATAAAGATGGACATGGCAAGGCAGTTCGGAAAGACGTCTGTGAGGATTTAAGTTGGGCGGCTTTCAGAAGATGAAAGATGTGTAAAGTTAAGGCCTTTCTGCAAACAATAGTATATTAATAAACTCTATACCATATTTACAAATGCATCCTTTTGTATTAAATCTAACAGTATTCTGTTCACAGTGCCATTGTTTATACAGGTAGCAATCCCATAATACTCATGTATTTTGGCATGGGAATCAGTAGCGCTTGGTATTTACAGAAAATGTACATGTGTGACTATAAACACGTCACTGAATCTGAGTTATTTGATAAAAGACAGATTGGCCAATGGTGCAGAAGAATGGAGTACACAGCACCTTCCCCTCTGACAGGATTTCTTAAGTTGAGAAGATGCCAAATCTCTGACCCAAAGTGGCATGAAATCAGTAACAAAACAATGAACCCCTTGTTCAAGTTTGGGTACACTGAGTCATCTTAGTTCAAACGTTTAGATCCAATGTCTAGTGCATAAAATATAAAAGTTAAAAAGATTTATTATTATTTTATAATAATAATTATTATTAAAATAGAAGGTACTTTCTCTCACGCTCTCATTTGTGCTCTGGCACTTAAGACCAGTATCCTTGGAGTCCCAAACGTGCTGGTGTTGTTATCGTGCAGATCAGCGGTCAGCTGGCCAACGCGAACATGCTCTGGACGTGGGAACTGCTGCCTGTCACAGTGGGACCCAGAAGCACCTCTTTCTTACTCCCCAGTCTTCTTCTTGAGGGACAAACTTGCCCCGGAAGCAGTTCCCACATTACCGAATGGAGTTGCTCATCTCGGCAGCTAATGCTGAGGTGACGAATGGCTTCTGTACACTGGAAAAGGGAGGGGAGGCAGGGAAGTAGGAGGAGGGTGGCATTCCAAAACCCGAAGCGCCAGCTGGGCTTATGGGCAGGAACCCCTCTGAGCGTCCACCCTTTCAGGGGCCTCTGTTGAATGAGGTTCTCATTCTCTCCACATGCAGAGCACGGGGTAGGCCTGGCTGGCTCTACGGGGTTTCGCCTTCAGTCACAGCCTGCTCGTCCCTCTCAGTCCCTTGGCCGGTGTGGTCTGGGCTGCCACCGCCACCGCCGCCACTGCTTTTGTGCTGCTTGGGCAACAGGCTTTTCCACTGGGCTTTGTTGTGTGCAAGATGGCTTAGCATGCTCTCAGACAGGGCACTGTTTCCGGTGAAACGGGCCCATTCCCCGAAGAGCGGCTCCACGATGTAGGTCATGAAACCTGGAAAAAGCAAAGTCAAGCTCATCACCACAAAGGCTGTAAATCTACTTCTGCCTCCCTCCAGAACAGGACTGGGGCCCATCTGTCATTGTACTTGACTCCAGAATGTGAAGGAGGAACATAAAATATGTCACCTGGGGATTTACTTAATCTCTTTGGACCTCAGTCTCCTTGTTTGTCAAAGGGAAATCAGGAGGATATCAAGCCCATAGGTAGTTAGCACAAGGAAATGACTTCACACGTGGGGAATTCTTACTAAATTCTGATGACATAGTAGCAGGGAGTAAATATTGGTGATTATTATTTGCAAAGGGAGAAAGACAAATAAAGCAAAAAGAATAATCTATGCTGGAATGAAGGAAGGGTGGGTGGGAGGAGGGTAAGTCTAGATGGTATCTGGGAGGTTCACAATTCTTTTTTCTTTTAAAGGTTTATTTATTTATGCATCAGAACTGGGGTACAGGCCAGAGGTGCAGGGGTGGTGAGAGGATTTACCAAAGACAGAGCAGGGAGCAGAACAGACAGATGGATGAAGTACACTGCTGAGGGGAGCAGCAGGTGAGACAGGAAAGGTCTGCTGTGAGATGTGAATTCTTCAGACCATGTGAAGAATTCATGCATTTACCCTGCAGGATATTTCTTTCCACATTATCATTTCATAAATTTGCCTTACTTCAGTTATATTAAACAACTAAGTATAGGTAAATAAAAGATCATTCATACTGAATACATATTTTACCTCCAGGAAAAGTCCTGCTTTAGTGGCAAGGTAAGATTGATGTTAGACTCTTGTTTGCATATCCGTTCTCTTATTTAATTTAAGCTGTTGCTTTCTCACCATGTTTTGCCATTAACAGACATCCTCTATTAAAGATGATGTAAAAGTAGTAACTTTCAGAATGACTGAAATCATCACCACCTTGGACATACTGAGGTTTTAATGTATTTCCTTGAAATGTAGATGTGTGGGGAGAAAAAGGCAAATGTTTTTCGGCATAACAAAACCCAGTATATTTATAGACCTGTGAATTAGAAGGCGTGATTTTATTTGATTACTTGGCCTTTGAGAATGCTACCGAGCTGGGAAAAAGCTGCAGCAATGCAAAATGTTACTCTACATTTCTGTATTATCTCATTTTATGTGAAATGTGATTTAAATATTATGAGAATATTATGAGATCATTTTAGGTAACTGGAACCTGAGGGGGAAGTTAAGCCAGTGACTTTATGTCTGCATTTTGATAAGGTTACACCAGGCACCAGCAGGTAGTTTTGAATTACTTGAATTTTCTTCATTTCCTTCACAATCTCCCTATCTAATTTCTAATACCTTTTGTTTTGAGAGAGGTTAGATATTAGGTCTCTTAAAAGATAGTTTGTAGAATTATATTATTTTAAGGTTTGTGTGAATATTTATCAAGTTTATTTTAAGTATAAAAACACTTACAAATCTAATGATTAAAATTTAATTTCTTCCTGAAGTTAGCCTGGAATTAGTCATCTGTCTTTCTACTGGCCAGGTATAAAGACCTGGTATAGTTGGGAGGATGCCATCTTAAAATCTGAGTAGACACCGGGAGGCTGTCTTTCAGAGGACACAGGCTGCTGCATGGCCTGACGTGGAGTCTGCTCCACTGGTAGCCAGTGCATTGTGCCACTCTGCACTTCAGCTCAGGTCATGGAGAAGCTGACTTTATTGGAATATTGCTTTCCTGGATGGGTGGGCGTGAGGGAATGTGGCTTTAGAGAAAGCAAGGATTGAAGGAAATCCTCTTCCTCCTCATCTTTCTATATTGTTCACTGACTAGAGTTTCATTCAAGGTACTATCTTCTTCTTCCTTTTTTCTTTACACTTAAAAAATGTATTCATTATATCATCCTTCATTCTTGTACAATGTAAGGTTTCCCCATGAAATTCCTACCATTTCCCTCATGCACCAGTACCTGTACTGCAGTACCTGTGTTCTTCCCACTCCTGCCTGTCCTATCCCTTCTCCCACCTCCCCTAAGAATGTCTCTGATCTATAGTTGCCTGATGATTTTAATTTTTACTTTATTATAGTTTTTTTTCTGATTCCTTTTTTGTTTACCTTCCTCCTATAAGTGAGACCATTCAATATATATATATTTTTATGGCTTATTTCACTGAGATTAATCCCTTTTAACTCTGTCCATGTTGCTGCAAAGGGCATGAGTTTATCCTCTTGATTGCTGAATAATATTCCATTGTGTAAATATACCACATGCCCTATCTTCTTTTTTTAAAAGGCAGAAATTGACATAGGGCAAGAAATAGGAAGTGGAGAGAGGGGATTTTATGCCCCCATTCCTCTAGGGTAAATATGAGTCACTTCAATAGAAAATCAGCTCTAAGCCTGAGATGGCATTCAGGAAAGTCTCAATCTGGATCAGGATGGAAAAAGAAAGGGGGTATGTTCAGTTCCAGGGGAATCAGGACAGAGGAAAGTCCTTGGAACAGTCTTTGTCTTGGAGGCAGAAGCCTACAGCTCCCATTAGATTCTTTATCTATTTGGATTTTCCAGTTTAGCCTAATTTACCCCTGAACCTATAAAACTGGAAGAAATGGAACACAGACAAAGATTTATGTACTAAGGGTTGTTTTATAATCACGTTTTCTCTCTTTTTTATTGGTATTAGTGAGCATCCATGGGCTTTTCCTGTTCACTCAATCTCCATCCCATTTTAAAAACAAGTATCTATGGTAACCACATTTTCCTGAACTGAAAATCAGGACATATGATCTGACAAAATAAATGTGTTCTCATGACAACAGGAGAGACTCTCTGAAATCAGGTCTGCCTTACAAACCCAGGTTGAGTGCTTACTAATGGGAATGCTTTCCTTTGGGAGTTCAAACTGTCTTTAACAGGTGCCTGGCAAATTTCTTTCCAGCCAGAGTTTGAAAAACTGAGTCTCAGGACTAGGATCACATATGCTGGACCTACACCAACAAAAACAACCTGTTGGGAGGCAACAGGCTGCCAAGGCTGAGGCTGCCTTTCTGTCTATGTTGCTCCTTCTTTCAATGACTCAGTAGCTTTATTATTTTGGATTCTTCTTAGGTTCTACTTTTTATAGTCTGGTCCCCTCTCCCATCCGCCATCCCTCCCTTTTTTTGGTCTAAGTGGAGGAATCAGTTTAATTGTGAGAAGCAAAATAACAATATTAAGGGGACTTTGGAATAAAATGTCTAACCAATAATATCGTAATTCAGCATACCTATGTAAATATTTGTATATTCCGCTTGTTTTTATGTCTCTAGATGACTTTATGCTTCTTTGTGGGGCTATACATTAGATCCGAACTTAAGTGGTTATAAACATATCATTCCAACTCCTCCCGTTTTCTTAATCTTTAGCTTATTTTTTTCATTCCCCTCAACATTAAGACATTAAGCCTTGAGCCTTGCAGAGGTCCACAGCACCATGAATGTATTAGTCTTAGTTCAATGGGAACTGGTAAACCAAATGAATGCTGCATGTCAAGGACATACTGTATAAAGAGAAGTGTGAAAATTCTGACTTAATAGGATGCAATTGCAAGGAAAATAATGTATTTGTTTAAATGTAGCTGGAACTGTGGTGTGCTTAAAAGAGTGATAGAAATCCTTATTTGATCAAAATATTTCCTCCAGTAATGAGTGCAATTTCCAAAGCTTGATTTGCTTAAGTATCTTATGGAAAAACTTAATTGGATAAAGTAATCATTATTTTGAATGTGTTAACATTGCACTTGAAAGTTTACTGTAACTGACACTTGAGAGGGTTGTCCTAAAATAACGAGACTCAAGAATTTTTAAGTGGAAAGTAGAGAAACATGGGAACCCAGGCCACAAGATTAGCCTGGCTTCCAGAGCAAGAGACTGACCATCTAGTCCTTGGGATTTTGTATTCGGCATGAAAGGTAGTCACCTAACTTGGAATGGTCCTCAAAGTCAACTTGTCTGACTTTCCATCCTTTAAGTCTTAAGGAGAGCATAAACTAATTTGTTCTTCAGCAGTAGATGATTCTTGTTCCTTCTCATCTTCTCAATTTGGCTTTGACTCAGTTCTGAACTACAAAGTTAATAAAAGTTGCTTAAAGGTTTATAACAGAGCCTTTCCCCTATTCTTCTCAACTGGTAATTACCTTATAGCTTAGTCCTGATTAGAGTTGTTATTTGGATTCAGCCATTCAAAGGGGCATTGATTAAATCTCTAGTCTGCATTTCACTAAAGTCATGTGGAGACTTTTTTTTTGTGATGTTTGGTATAGGTGCTAAAGCTATTTATTTGGAATTAAAATTGAATTTGACTTACCAATTTGTATACTAGGGATTGAATCTTTCTGTTGATTACAAAGAGGACTGATTTCCAGTTCAAATTTCTGTTCAAGGTCACCTACCAAGAATAAAGAAGAAACACATTGATAATCTAGAATGTTAAAAAAAAAATGACTGTTGATAGCTTTAATGATCTAGTTGAAAGAAGTTATTCTGAGAATTGATGTTCTTTGCCCTGTTATCATTAGAAACCCAATAGTACCATCTTGCTCTGATAGCTTCTGCAAAAAATAAAAAATAGCAGTGTCAAGATCATTGTAGATAGATGTGCTCTGGGAGTAGAATAAACTTTTGAACAAGATTTATAAAAATAAGGACACAACTGATGGGCCATTTCCTAACATGGAATAGAAGTTCTGGCTTTAAATATATGTTAACAGAACAGAATTTATGCCTTTCCCCTCATTTCATTCTGTCTGACCCAAGTCTGGTTTCACTTGAGCAACCAGGAATAATAAGTTAGCAGTGAATGGGGGAGTGGACTAGAAGATTTCAGTTGAAGAGCATCAGAGTCAACAGCTAAAAAACTGATGAGGAATAAGGATCTAATATTTTTCGTTCTGACTTCTTAACATTTCACCTAAAGTAGAAAGGTTAGGATTATATTTCTCTCTCTCTTTTAAAGATTTATTTATTTATGCATACAGAACTGGGGTACAGGCCAGAGGTGCAGGGACAGTGAGAGGATTCACCAGAGACAGAGTGGGGAGCAGAACAGGCTGACTGACGAAGTACACTGCTGAGGGGAGCAGCGGGCAGGTCAGGAGAGGTCTGCCGCACCATGTAGGTCACCTCCATGGCCAGGGATTGAACTCGTGCTGCAGTGGCTGTGGATAGCTTCATAGTGTGATGCTTTAACCCATTGTACCACCAGGAAGGTCCCAGAATTATATTTCTTTAAAGACTTTGTCAGCTAAAAGACTAAAGGAGAAATACATCATACAAAGCTTTGTCAAAATATTGTTTCTAAGGGTAAAATGTTGCAGAAATTTTTACATGGGTAAAGTCTAGTTAATTAGTAGGATGGAGATTCTAGGCTTTCACCTACTGTGCTGTTTCAATCTTTTCTATATTGTTCAGAAAAGAAAGTATCTTATATAAAACCTCCTTATTCCAATTTCATCTCTCAATGGAGATGAAATTTTGTTTTGCTCTCAATGGAGATTTCATCTCATGGGCCACTAGAATTGATCTTTTGATTTCTAACCACTTATGCTCAATTGAAGTAAATTCCACTGTAGGAGATACACGAACACTTTCATCTGAGTTAAAGGGATTGTGAACAGAGCCTCCAGCCCCACATGAACTTTGTTAATTCTGCTTTTTCTTTTTGTATTTGGGCCCATCATGATGTCATTGACACATCATTCAATGCAGGCTTTTCCAGAAGGCTCACTGCTGCTATTTGCCCTCCCATCAAGTTGATATGTGGGACATTTGAGACTGTGTCTGTCCTCAGACTCTCAAACCTGATCCTGTCCCCATCTCGGGGCAGTTACACCTGAACAAATACTCTGAGCACTGA